GGCGGGGCCAGGGCGGCGCGCTCGCCCCGGGGCTGCAGCCGCGCCACGTCAGAGTTTGCGGGCGCCTCCACCCCCAGGCCAGGACATGCGGAGGCACCGGTGCGTCCACCCCGCGCTGGCCTGTTGCTCCAGACGCAACAAGTATTTGGTGGCCCCAGCCCGGGTGCCTGGGTCTCGCTCCCACCCTGTCCCTGGGGTCTGCCCCGCACCCCCTCAGCGACCGCCCGGGGCTTAGCCGGAGGTGACCATCGGCGGTGAGCCCGACAATGCCCGCTGTGCCTACAGGGTGACCGCCGGGCAGCCGGGCCTCGTCCTGTGCCACCTCTCCGCGCAGCCCAGGCAGGTGGACAGACGCCTCCGGCTTTCAAGTTTCCTGGGAGCCACCGCGCGGCGAGAAGGCCGCCGTGGGCAGCGGGCAGCAGAGCTGCCTCTCAGCCCTTCCCCAGACTTGCCCTGGTGGCGGGAGGGGCTGGCCATGGCCCCCGGGGCCGGGGCCGGAGTCTCCGGCTGAGCCCTTAGCGTGGGGAGCAACAGCTGCCGTGTGGCCCCGCCGAGGTGAGTGGCCCCCACGCCCACCCACCCCTAGGGTGGAGGCCAAGCTGGTGACCCTGAGCCCCGCGCGGGCCCCAGGCTGTCAGGCCAGACAGGCGGGAGTGGAGATGGACGGGCGGAGTTGCATCCCAGCACTCCTCAGTGCTGTGCGGTCATGGGGTGCAGACATCGGGCATGGACTGCCAGGAGGGAGTCTTGTGGGGTGCTGGGGGTAGGCCCCCCAGTTCTCTGTGTGCCTGGGGTGCTGCCCTGGTGCGAGAGGTGAAGGCAGCCCTCAGCTGTGGGCCCCGCGAGCAGTGACCCACCTGGCCTGAGGGTTCTGGCGGGGACCTTGGGGGCAGCTCCTGGCCGCCTGTGCTAAAAATAACAGGTGTGAGGCAGCCTGAGGTCACTGGCGCCTCTGGCGGTCACCTGCCTCTGGCCTTGGGTCAGGGTGACCTCGCCTTGGGGTGTGCCGGGCAGAACAGTGGGCAGCAGCAGCATGCGGCCTGTGGGCACCCCACCCCAGCGAGGGTGCCCCTTTCTGCCCGAGCCTTCCTCTGGTCGAGCCGGCGCCCCTGGTGCCCCACAGCAGCGGGACGGGAAGCGTGACAGGGCTGGGCGCCCCCTTCTGCGGTGACCTCTGGGGGCCCGGCGGGGGGGCAGTGGCATCTCGCCTGGCCAGGCCCTGGCCTCGCGGCCTGGGTCTCAGCCCTGTGTCCTGGGGCCCCGGCCCGGGGGGGGGGGGGCAGCCGAGTGGCGACAGTGGAGGTTGTGGGCTGGATCCTCCGGCTGGACACGCGAGAGTCCAGCCCAGGGTAGTGCCCCTCCCCTGCCCGCCTGGCTGGAGGCGGCGCTTCTCAGCAGTTGACCCCGGGCTGGCACCCCGCTGCAGCCGAGAGGCTGAGCCAGCCGGCCGTGTGTCCGGTGGAAGAGTGCTGTGGTTGTCCCCGGTCACTGGCCCGGGGCCCTCGGGTTGACAGTCCAGCCCTTGGCGGCCACCCTTGCCCTCACGTCCTGCGTCTGGCGGGCTGAGGGCACTTGGGCGTCGTCCTGCCTGCCGTGGGCACAGTGCTGCAGAGCAGGGCAGCCCTGCCTGTCCCTCGCTGACCTTGGGAGCGGCTGTCACGGTCATGGCTGTCCAGAGGGATCCCAGAAAGCTGAGCGCTCGCCCCCCCAGCTTCCTGATGGGGGCTGGGCTGTGTTCACCCTATCCTGACCCTGTAAGATCAGAATTGGGGTGCAGCCCGACTCCACCAGTGCCCCCCAGGACAGTGCTGTTGAGGCAGGGCCGACCTGCAGCAGTGTCCCTTTGGGGGCTGTCGAAGGGGGTCTCACCTGGCCAGGCCCCCGTGGTGTCCACGGGGGTCGTCTGCACCTGGGGCATCTCCCCTGCCTGGCCGCGCCTTCCTGCCAGTCTGCGGCCCACAGCCGCCCTTCTGCAAGCCATCGTCAATGACAACCACCGGGAAACCTGTCCCCCGCCCTGCAGGGGGCCTCCGGGCCGGCCGCCGGCGCCCCACGGGCGTTCCTCCCCGCAGGTCCCGGCACCCCAGCATGGACCCGGACCCGCAGGCGGGCGTGCAGGTGGGCATGCGCGTGGTGCGCGGCGTGGACTGGAAGTGGGGCCAGCAGGACGGCGGCGAGGGCGGCGTGGGCACGGTGGTGGAGCTCGGCCGCCACGGCAGCCCCTCGACGCCCGACCGCACGGTGGTCGTGCAGTGGGACCACGGCACCCGCACCAACTACCGCGCGGGCTACCAGGGTGCTCACGACCTGCTGCTCTACGAC